TGACGCCGGCCTATTCCGACCAAGCGGACCCTCCGTTCCGGCTGTTATTCCCGACACTCTCCTCCCTTCCCAACCCAATGTGGTCTACTGAGGCCACCTACTGGAACCGAGTGTCCTGGTTCAGAAAAACAATTCCACCAGGCCAAAATTCCAACAATCCAAAGGACGCAGTTGTAACAGCCAAACATTATACTACCTTCTACTTGGCCAGGCTTCTGTCCGTCTCACCTAGCTCTTTCTGCCACCAGCTAGAGAACCGAAGTCTGCCTTCCTCCGTTACCCAGACCACCGCCTCATTCAAGGTCCAGGTAATACGAAACCATCTCAGGCCCTCCCTTCTTTTCCCGCAACCTGCTTTCCTCCGCCAGTCTGCACGGATCTCGTTTTGAAGTAGTTTGCGGAAGAGATTTTCTGCCTGGGCTTCTGCCATGCTTTGACCCTTGAACCTTAGGTCGTTTCGGTCTGCCTACATTACCCATAGCAGTACTGCTCTTCACACCTGCGCTGCATAGCCCCATCCTTCATTGTCTTTCAGACTTTCTGGAAGAATTCCCAGAATCACCCAGCGTTCCCCAACCAGATTCGACCTCCCTGACCACTTCTTCCAGTGTTTAAACCACCAATCCCACCACCTTCTTGATTTGGGACAGGCCCACCAAAGGTGGTGCGTTGTTTCAAACACCCAGTTACATCTGTCACATACTTTACTGACTGCCATTCCCCTCTTTCTCAACCACCTGGCTACCGGGACTGCTTGGTGAGACTGTAGCCACAACAGGGAGGCCAGCTTCTGATGGAAGATTTGGCAGTTGTGACCACCCCCTCTGAAGGCCTTTCTCGCTCGGTGGGGCTAGATGTGGGCAAACTTTTTCCCACTTGTCCACCAGATACTTGCTTATCGACTGATCCCTCTCATGCTGTCTGTGGACTATTGCTTCTTCTCCCTTCTCCAAGCCCCACCACTCTTCAGAGTTCCCTTTCCAACCCCAAGCTGATTTGTCAATATGCAGATCTTCAATGGCTGTCCCATCTTCTGTTAAGCTCCAGCCTCCTTGTCTTCCACACTCCGCCCTTATGGTTTTCAAGTTCGTAAGACCATACCTGCTAGTCTCACTGACTTTTATAAGCTGTGGGAGACCCAGGATGGATCTCTTGAAAACCGCCAGTTTGCACTTGCCTGGTATCTCTGCGTCCCAATCCTCCAGTCTGAGGAACTCCTCGTTGCTCTTTGCATGACAGACCTCCTGACCCCTGAACCAACTGCCACTGCTTGGAACCCACCTGCCATCCAACAGTTCGCACCAGTGAGGTGGGATGACATTTATCAGATTTTGCCTCCTTTCCTGTTGGTTCCTTAGCATCCCCAGCGAATCCTTCAGTCTCTCCTCCGATTTCCATTGTCCTGTCGTCTGGTCCCACAAGTCCCCTACCCTTGAAATACCCCTTTGAATCCACTTCATGCCAAAAGAGCCTGCTCTGGTGTTTGCGCTGAACGGCTCCCCGTCTTCACCCCGGATCCACGGATTTTCAAAGAGATGTTATCTGAGGACCTCTGCCCTGTTGACTGGCTGTGTCGTCAAGTTGGGTTTACGCTTCTGCCATGCCTGCAGAATGTCTTTCCAAAACTTGGACTTGGATCTTTTGCAAAGGAAGGCTTGGAGCATGATGGCTACCCATACATCCTCTGAGCGAGAAAGGCCCCATTGTTCGCTCAGCAGTTCCTCTGCCAGGACACACCAGTCCTCCTGCTGGTCTGCGGTGGCCACCTTCAGAATCCATTTTGAGAGGAGCTTCAGGTTTTGGGAGTCTGGGTCTAGAAGTGCCAGGCCTCCTTGGCTCTTCGGAGTGCACAGTGGATCCCATGCCACCTTCACAATGTAGTCATTTTCCTCATCAGAACCAGGCTTCCAGATGAACCCTCGAGCGGAGGCTCTAACTCCTTTGATCAATGGTTTTGCCAATCTTGTGACTTTTGCCACGTACCAGAGGATGGAGAATGCTGACACGGTTACCGCTAGCACTCTTCCAATTAATGAAAGATGCGAGGCCAGGCCCCAACTACGTATCCTCTTGGTGACTCTCTCCTGTAGGATGGTCGACTGTGATTCTGTACGGTCCTCAAGCGCCAACTGCACTCCCAAATATCTTTCTGCTTCTCCCTCTTGTACTCTTCGCATACCCAATTCCACCTTGAGGTTGTAGTCTTGAGGCAGGTAAAAGATGGACTTATTCCAGTTTACTGCTGCTTCAGAAAGCTCTGCATAATGGGATAAGCATCCTTTCAAGGCCTCCAATTAGACCTTCTCATTAACTGACAGGGCTAGTAGATCATCCGCTAGAGCCTTTTCTCTGCACTCCTTGCCTCTGCGCATCTTCAGGCCAGTCAGCAGGGGGTGTGATCTGATGTCATTTAACAACACCTCCAGCTGGACCACACAGAGAAGTGGGGCTAATGGGCACCCTTGTCTTAGTGACCGTGACAGTTGGAACTCTTTGCTGTGCCACCCATCAACCTGAACTGCTGCTGTGGAAAAGGTATATAGTGCTTTCACACTATTGCAGCATCTGCCTCCAAAATTCATCTTTTCAGTGTCGTGAGTACAAACGCCCAATTAACACGATCGTAAGCCTTCTCCATGTCCATCATGAGCACCCCCACGTCCAGATTTATGTTCCCGATAACTTCCAAAGGACTCAATTGAGGTGGCCAAGTTATCGGAAATAGACCTGCCTTTAACAAAGGCTCCTTGGTCCAGCCCCACAACTCTCAACAGATGGATTGCAAGTCTATTGGCCATAGTTTTGGCCAGCAGCTTGTAAGAGAAATTGAGCAAGGATATTGGCCGCCAATTGCTGATCTCGCTGGGGTCTCCGTACAGCAACGTTATGATGCCCCGCGTCATGGTGGGACCCAATCTCTCTCCTTCCAAAACCTCATTGTACAATGCTGCCAGCTCTTCTACCAACACTTCCCACACTGCCTTATAAAACTCCATCGCTAGACCATCATCCCCGGGCGATTTCCCTCTAGCCACTGTGGCTATAGTGTGAGTCAGTTCCTCTACCGAGATCGGTTTATCCAGAGCCTCCCTTGCTTCTGCAGTCAAAGCCACCTCCAAGGAGTTCCATACTTCAGAATGGATTGACAGGTCCGTTTCAGGGTCTCCGAAGCTGGAGCGAGAGGTCAATATGTCTTGGAAATAGGCCTGAGCATACTCACATAAGTCTTCATTGGCTGTTGCAGGCGGGAGTGAGGCAAAATGGGGATGGGTCAACTCTTTCATCTGGACTGATTTCCTCCTTGGTAATAACTTCTGGAAAGTCTCCTTGCAAAACCGGTCTCCAGTCACAATCTTATCCAATCTGCTCTCGAGCCGAAAAAGGTCTTTGCTTCTTCCCAGTCTTTCCAGAAAGTTCTTACCCAGTCCAACACTCCCTCGTCTTCCAACAGAGTCGTATTTAGTCTGAAACACCCTGGTCCTCTCCCACTTTTTATCCCCACGCTGGTTGTCATTATGACTGGCCTATGATCAGACATAGCCCCGTTTGTTTCACGAACCATGTGCACGTTGGCTGCAACTGCCTCGGACACCAAGAAGAAGTCCTAAATGCCTCTTCACTCCTGCCGACTGAGGTGTCTTTCCAAACCAAGTGAATTGGATTGATTTCTCTGTAGATGTCGTGCAGACCCCACTTTCCATCCACAGCAACAGCGTCCTCCTGTCCCTCTGTATACCCTCCTCCCTTTCTGAATCCAGACCCGGAGTGCAGACCAGATTCCAATCTCCACCTATGACTAGGTACTCCGTCCTAGGCAGCTTCCTGGATAGTAGTTCGATGAACTCTATCCTATCAAGGGGGTCGTTTGGAGCATATACTGTGGCAAAGACCCATTCCTCCCCTTCTATTACCAACTTAACCCAGCACCAGTGACCCCATAAATCACAGTCTGAATCCAGCAACGCGCAGTCCAACCGGTTGTGAAAAAGGATTGCGACTCCACCCCTACTACCTTGGGCCGGAGACCACAGTTGCGGACCGGTCCACCAGTGTTTCAGCTGGCTCAACTTCTCCATTGATAGCTTCGACTCTTGTACAAGAATCACGTCCAGGTTCTTCTCATGGATCCACTCGTTCAGCCTTCTCCCTTTCTGTTTGCCTTCCAAATCTCCCAGCCCCTGGACATTCCAGGTGGCGATTCTAATTTTCGCCATTTGTCTGATGTTGGGAGGCCGCTGCTTGGATGTGCCCTGGGGTCGTAAGTGCTTCTGGCCATCTGCTGCTCAACACTTCTGCAGTATGCCGATGAGAGGTTTCTTCGTTTCTGTAACTGAGCGTTTAGCTGAAGAAGGATCCTTGCTGACATGCCTGGATTGATCAAGATTCGCTCTAGTTCTCCATGCGGATCAGCTAGGAGGAGCCGCAGTGGAATACCTACCAAGCCAGGCTGCTGCTTGGATGTGCCCTGGTGCTTCTGGCCATCTGCTGCTCAGCACTTCTGCAGTACGCCGATGAGAGGTTTCTTCGTTTCTGTAACTGAGTGTTTAGCTGAAGAAGGATCCTTGCTGACATGCCTGGATCGATCAAGATTCACTCTAGTTCTCCATGTGGATCAGCTAGGAGGAGCCGCAGTGGAATACCCACCAAGCCAACGCTTCCAATATTGTTCCACATTTCCGGAGAGAGCCTTGCATCCACTAGCGGGATCGTACGTCTGGCCTTTCCTCCTCCTGGCAGGTCTACCACCAAACGTGCCGGAGCATCCTCGGGGAACAGTCGGAACTGAAAACGTTCGGCGAACAGCTGTCGTACTTTCATCATCACAAATTGTGCTGAAGGGATCTCCAGGATATGACTGGTTGGCATAAAGAGCCTGTCTTCTGCTGATCTGAGACCCAGAACAAACATCTCTTGACCTTGTAGTTTACAAACTAGTGGTAAGATCAAGTGATCCATCATTGTCCTCGTCTGATTTACTGAATGCTCCGTCGTGGATGTCCCTTGGAGAAGCGTCTTTGTTTTCCTCCCCTGCCATTCCCTCGTCATCTGCCCGCTCTTGTCTCTCTTGTCCCTCCTGTCCGTTGTTCTCACCTCCACCCGTGTATGTTACCAGTTCTCTTGCTTGTGATCTGCAAACACCATCGCCTCAAATTCTCCTGTCTTGCAATTGCTGTCTTTCTGTACCACCACCAGGTCTCTCGTTGTCTCTGGTACATGAGCCTGCCCCAAATTATGCACGTTCTGTGGAGTGGGTACATGACCCATCAATTCCGTGGACAGAATGCCTGCCGCAGCCAATAGCGATGATTGCCATGCTTGTTCTCCGATGGTATTCCGGATACCTGGGAAGTTCTGTACACCTGGGTTGCCCATTCCGTATCCTTGGTGGTAGACCGGTACCGAATTTGGTCTGAAAGGTACAAAGCCTGCTCCTGTTACACCAACTTGGAGGCTGGTTGATCCTGGAAGACCGCCTTGTGGGACCTGCTGCTGTGGTCCCATGTTCGTTGGCACATATGCCGCCTGACCTTGCACATGCTGGGGTTGTATTCTAATTCCTTGAGGAGTTCCACCCGAACCTTGGCGCTGCTGGACTCTCGATGTAGCTTGAATGGAGGATTCCGCCACCGTTTGTTGCGGTACTTCCACAGGGAGGTCTTTTGTTGATTCTTTGATCCCGCCCAGTATGCTTGGAGGGAGCTGTTGCCTGTTCCTCTGTGAGAAGTTGTCTGCCGTGTCACCCTCTGCTTCCTGTCCATCTCGTTGTTGAACAAGTTTGGGGCACCCGTCTGTAGCTGTGTGGTTCCACCATTTGCTTCTGTCACACCAGGGGGTGTGTTTGCAGACTAACTCCACGTTAATATCTTCCCCGTCATCCAGCCGCAGTGGAAGCAACAGAACAAATCCTCCCTCCGCTTCTGGAGCCAGTTCAAACTTCATATTCATCAGCTTGGGGTGCGTCGGATCCGGTTGTGGCGGAATTGAGTTGATTATCCTCCCCATGCTTTGCTCAATTGCATCTGCAATTGGGGACATAGCCCTCAACGGCACACGGAGGGCCATCACCCAGAACTTAGAAGCTTCCTCCAATTTCCTTCTCTCCTTGAGCTCCCGTCGATTCATCCAGGGTTTAAACAACATCTTGTAAGCCGTCTCCCGAATAATAACACTATCCTCACCTTTATTAATCAGCCATTGAGCAATCTCCCTTGTCATGGCCACGTAAGACATTACGTTCGGGCCTTCAGAGTGTACCCTCCCCCTCTTTATTGTACGTGAGAAGGTGCGCGATCTGATCCATCCATTTTCGTAGGCGCGTATCAAATCCTCTCTGACTTTGGCCGGTAGAGAACGCACTTCACCTTGATTGTAAGTTGTAACAAAATATATTAAGGGTATCGGGAAACAAAAACAAAAAAAACTAAGCCGGTACCTGATATATTTTGCTGATAACCTTTCGGCAGGAAAAGCAAAAACATATGGCGGGCCGCTAACACCACGACCGATAGCGGTGACTGAACTGTTGTGGGATTCTGAAGAGACTTTATGGAATAATGATTCTCTCAGTTCAACGCTCCTGTCTGAATCTGGCTCATGATTTGAGTCAGATGCATCCACTTTGAGTAAGTCGAAGAGGCCAGGCCGTCGTGCAGTCGAATCAGATCATTCCGACATTGCACCCCCCCTGTCGAAGTTTCCCGGTCCCGGGGTCTCTTGCGAAAGCTCCCGATCCCAACTTGCGAAAGCTCCCAATCTGAACTTGCGAAGCTCTCGATCCCAACTTGCGAAGCGCCGGATCTCAACTTGCAAAGCTCCCGATCCCAACTGGCAAAGCTCCCTCCTCCGAATACAATCTATGTTGTTGTTGTTGTTGTTGTTTTGTGTTATTTTAAATACAGCTGTCTTCTCCTCATGTAAGGGGGACAAGCTGTATTTTTTTTGCTACCCTATTTTCTTCTCTCAATCTTTGTATCTACCTCACCCTAACTACCTACCTAATGGGTTACCTCTATTCCAGAAGAAGCAGTTTTTCTATTCAGGAGCCAACATTAAATGTACGAACTATGCCTAAGCTATCCTAAGCAGAGTTAGGGATGAATAGACCAATATAATCTATGAATTAAAAATAACGTGGGTGTACAATTCAGCCACCGCGCGGATGCATTCGCGTGTGTATCATCCCTTTACACAGGGATCGTGCTAATCTTCTCTGTGAATCTCAATTACTGTGAACCTCTACCGAATGTCCCAAAGGACTAATAATGTGAGCAATGGTTTCATCTTACAAACTTTGGGGAACAGAAGAAGCTGCATGGAAAAATGGAGGATTTCTGTTGGAGGGGTGGGGGTTGGGGGGGTGAGGGGGGAGGACGGAATTTGAGTAGCAGCTGCACAGGTATGGGATGGGCAACAGAGGGCTTTCTGGGGGCGGTTGGGGCGG